TGTAACAATGAAAATACATCCTGCATATCAGATATTTACATTATGATTCATAACAGTAGCAAAATTACAGTTATGATGTAGCAATGAAAATAATTTTATGGTTTGGGGTCATCACAACATGAGGAACTATATTAAAGAGTCGCGGCATTAGGAAGGTTGAGAACCACTGGTCTGCATATAGTTTGTGCTTTCTAGAATTTTATATAAATGGAATCAAAGTTATGTGCTCTTTTATTTTTTGGTTGGGTTCTGGTTTCATTCTCTTAGCATAATTATTTTGAGTTTCATGCATATTGTGTGTAAAAGAAAGTGTCCATGGTATGGATATTCCACAATTTGTTTATCCATTCACTTGCTGTTTACGTTGTTTGGCTGTTATGAACAAAGCTCCTGTGTACTTTTGCATACAAAACTTTGTATGGACATAATAATTGCATTTTAAAAATGAGGTAGGCTCATTTCTTCCCTGAAGGAAACAGTAAAGAGGATGCTATATAGCAGAAATATTTTAAATACATGATGGAATTGAGCATTTGGTTTGATAGGGGATTTTGCTTATTTGTGATTTATTCTAGAGTTCTGTGTTTTATTGCTTTAGACTCTGTTATTAGTAAGAAAGGTTAGGATTTTATGGAAAAAATGGCTTATTGTAAACTTCAAGTGTAAATATAGAAGGTAGAGGAAGTTTTGCAGTATTTTTTTTTTTAAGATTTGGTTTTTGTATATATAAAATGGTCAAAAATGAGAATCATTGTCTGCTTAGAGATTTTGTATAATTTCAGATTGATTGTTATATAACAGCCACTGTAAAGAAGGATAATCTCTGAAGAGTCACGTTTTGTATTTTTTAAATACAATTATTTTGTTCTTCATTTATAGGCAAACAGTTTGGAATCCAAAGATTATCTTCAGGTTTGTCTTCGAATAAGACCATTCACACAGTCAGAAAAAGAACATGAGTCTGAGGTTTGTGTTGCATTATATCTTCATTAAATGGGCAAAATATACCGTATTTGCCGGCGTATAAGACGATTTTTTGGCCCTGAAAAATATACCTCCAAGTGGGGGGTCGTCTTATACGCCAGGTACACTTCAGATAGACTGCCCATAGTGCTTGCCCCGTGCCATAGTGGCCTCCCGATGCCCGCCCACTTCATTCCACATACCGTTCAGGCATCAGC